TAGCGTTTATTATATCAATATAGATAATAGTAATAGTAATCTAATTTCCCTCCTTTTTAAAAACTCTAACCTGGCTAGCTAATACGCTTATCTAAGAAACAGAGGCCTATAGTCTACATGCCAAGAGTTAAGGGACATTATTACCCAGCACTTTTACTTACTTATCTACAAAACTAAAATGCAGTATACTATCCCAATAGGGAGCGACAGAGCAGGATAGTTTTGTGCTTACCTAACTTATAATATTTTCTATATCTTTAGCCAGGAGCTGGAAATCTTTACAAAAGGATTTACTAGTTATTAATACTGCTATTAGCAGTAGTGCGCAAAACATTACACTTAAGTATAATACATTATAGAACGTTAACCTTCCTAAGACCTATTACGATTTTTTCAAGGAAGATTCTACACAGAGTACTTACACGTGCCCTTTATAATTAATTTATATATAGCAGATATGGCTAACTAAAAGTCTGGATTATTAATAGAACTACTAAATATTTAGACTACTACTGCTGGCCTCTTGGAAAGAATGCGGAATATTACGATTACCGTAACTATGTCGAAATAAGCTTGGGAAATATATATATACTAAATCAAAATAGCCTATCTCGTTGGTTTAAACAGTTTAGATACAAGCTCAACCTGCTTGGCGAGAATTGTAAGCAGGATCACAGCAGCTACTAACCCTCGTATGATGATGATATCCTCGATTCTGGATTTAGCTCAGTTTTTGAGATCACGGAATGTCTGAAGCTTCTAGTGTGCAGAGATAAAGAAGTAAAGTCGTATCCGTACGATAATCCGTGCAGGCGCCTTTAAGGCAGTGGATAACGGCAATGGAGTCTTTAAATATGGTATCCTGGTTAGATGGAATGAGGAAGGACATCTTTGTATCTTTGGTATTTCTTAATGTTATTTACCTTTTCGTATCTGTTACGACCTTCTCTCGCCACTCTTCTAACTAACAGTTTGGAATGTTATGAAATTATGTTAATATAGTAAGAATCTTCCTTCTGTCTTCAGTGCTGCATTGTTGGAAAAGCAAATTACATGGTTTTACAGTAGTATTTCTATTATGCCTATGTTGTAGTAGCATTCTTTACCGATTAAAAAGGTCCTGGGAACGCTTATGCTTCCTAAGCTGCAGAGGACAAGTGCGGAGGAGAAATGAATTAATTTTAGATGGCCTAACCCGATGTCTTTCAAGTTGGTCTACAGCCAGGCGGAGTATGGTTGTTTAGTGTTTGGAGCACTAATTGGCTATTTGCCTAGACAGAAAGTGTTAGCCCTTTCTTTAGTATAATGCATTAGCTATATTAATAAAACATCTTAGTATTACCCCTTTGACTAAATAGTGCTAAAAGTCCATCTCTGCGCAACCTGGCCAAGAAGACATTATTAGATGCTAAACTGTAAGTTAAAATTATAATATAAGTAATACAAATACAAAACAGCTAATAATTAAGTTATTAAAGAAGATAATATTAAAACCTTCTAGGCAACTATTTATAATGTGTCGAGGCCCCTAATAATAAAAACAAGTAGGGGATTTAAAGTACTATCCTATTTCCAGTAAAAGAGAAACTAGCAGGGGTACAAGCTTGTAGGCAGTAGTAAATTTCCACTTTTACTAAATGTGAGCTATATAAAAGGAGTGTATATAGTTTTACACTAACCTTAAATAGGGTAAAGAATGCAAGATCTTATATATACGTTTTACCTTCCTATTCTGGTACTGCTATAAAAGCTAGCACAGAGACCTGGGAAGCATTTATACTTTACTTAACGCCATCCAGCACCATTGGATAACTAACGACTCTTTGTAGTACTAGGTGAATCATCATGACTACATTCGACTACTTTTCCCATGTTGAACTACCCACACCAATGCTGCCTCTCGAAGAGGCATGTGCCCTCTTACACCAAGAGTTTGGCATTGCTGCCAACTTGCGGCCGCTCGGCAGCCAGCAGGACCAGAACTTTCTCGTCCTAACTGCCGCCCATACCGAGCCGTTAGGCGTGCTGAAGATCAGTAACCCAGTCTTTAGTGGTTTGGAGATTGAGATGCAGGATGCCGCCGCCATTGCCGTTGCCCGTGCAGAACCATCCCTGCGTATCCCTCACGTCATTGAGGGACCGCGGGGTGTCATGTCGGGGTGGTGGCAGACCAGTCAGGGACGTCTACACTGCCGCATCATCTCCTTCGTGTCAGGTACCACACTGACCGGCTCACACTACCTCAGCCCGGCCGTCGTGCAACGGCTGGGCGAGCTATCAGCCGCGATCAGTGTGGCCCTAGCAACTGAGACCCATCCTGCTTCGGGACGTACCTTGCAGTGGGATCTACGACATGCCGAACGGGTCATTGACGCCATTACCGCCACTGAGCCCGATGTCGACGTGCGAGCGCTTACCGCCGAAGCCAGCCAACACGCGTTAACGTTGCTACGCCCAATATCAGATCGCCTGCCACGTCAGTTGGGCCACTTTGACGTCACTGACGATAATGTCCTGCGTCCGGATGGCAATGTCCTCAGCCTCCCAGATGCCGTGATCGACTTTGGCGATGTGATTGAATCGTGGGCGGTGGCAGAGATTGCCATCACCGTTTCCTCGATGCTACACCACGCCGATGCCTGCTTCCGCACCGTGTTGCCGGCTATCGTCGCATTCAATCGACGACGCCATCTCAGTGATGATGAGGTTACCGCGCTATGGCCGTTGGTGGTCTTGCGTGGGGTCGTTCTGGTGCTCAGTGGACGTCAACAGGTGCGTCTCGACGTTGATAATGAGTATGCCAAGCGAGCGCTGGACCGCGAGTCCACGATCCTCCGTCGCGCCACTGAGGTGCCATTGGAGGTGGTTACCGCCCAGATACGCCATACGCTGGGACGCCCCGACGCTATAGCGCCGCGCTGGAGCGGCAAGTCGATCCTGGCAGCGCCACGATCGGCGGTGGTTCTGGATGCCTCTACTCTCTCGACGTTGGCCGATGAGGGAGCTTGGCTTCAGAATGATGCGATAGAGCGTGCCGCACAGCACTTACTGGCCCAGGGTGCTGATATGGTCGTGCTACCGGCCTTGCGACCAGCGCTGCTGGGTGCCCCATCCAGGACACCAAGCCTACCCTCCACGGTCCCTACTTCGGCGGCCGCCTGGTTCGCCGCTGCGGCCACCCTTGAAATACCTGCCAATCTATATGTACGACAAGGTGGGACGGCTCTGCCGGTGGGAGTAGCGACAGTTGCAGCCGGCAGCCGCATTGACGTGCTGCTGACCGCGCTTGATCCAATGAATGTGCCAACCGCGATCCCTGCCTTCGATCTGCCTGGGTGGAGCGTGGTGATTGGAGATGCAACCGCAGCGCTGGGCGTAACGCCGCCCACAAATGATATAGACGATGAAGGTCTGCTGGAACGGCGCGAAGCAGTGGTGGCAGAGGTACAGGAGCACTACTATGTCCGTCCACCACAGATCGAACGGGGCTGGCGCGAATACTTGATGGACGTCAACGGTCGTGTTTACCTCGACATGGTCAATAATGTCGCCTCGGTAGGCCACGCCCATCCTCGCATTTCCTCGGCTATCGCACGGCAGACCCGACTGCTTAATACCAATTCGCGCTTTCACTATGCCGCCATCACGCGCTACGCCGAACGGCTCGCCGCTCAACTGCCTGATCCGCTTGATACGGTCTTCTTTGTTAACTCGGGCTCTGAGGCGGTCGATCTAGCCATTCGTCTGGCGCTAGCGGCCACTCAGCGTCACGATGTGGTGGCCATGGCTGAGGCCTACCACGGTTGGACCTATGCCAGCGATGCCGTTTCCACGTCGATCGCCGACAATCCGCACGCGTTACATACACGGCCCGACTGGGTGCACACCGTCGAGGCGGCCAATGCCTACCGCGGACGTTATCGTGGAGCCAAAGCCGCCAAGAACTATGCCGCTGACGCGGTGGCACGTCTACAGTCGTTGGCCGCCGAAGGGCGTGCGCCGGCCGCTTTCCTGAGCGAGACCTACTATGGCAACGCTGGCGGCATAGCGCTGCCTTACGGGTACTTGCGCGAGGTCTATACAGCAGTACACAATTTGGGCGGAGTGACTATTGCCGATGAGGTCCAGGTGGGGTTTGGCCGTCTGGGATCTTGGTTCTGGGGCTTCCAACAGCAGGATGTTGTGCCCGATATTGTGGCGGTGGCTAAGTCTATTGGCGGTGGCTTCCCGTTAGGCGCTGTAATTACTAGCCGCACTATTGCTGATCGATACCGTAGCCAGGGGTACTTCTTCTCTTCTACTGGTGGATCACCTCTGTCATCAGTGGTGGGACTCACGGTGTTGGACATCATCGAAGAGGAGCAGCTGCAGGCGAATGCGCGGATCGTTGGTGCCAGCCTAAAGTCGCGGCTGCAGGCGTTGGGCAAACGTCACCCCCTCATAGGCACCGTGCATGGCGATGGCCTGTACCTGGGCCTCGAATTTGTGCGCGACCGCACCAGCCTGGAACCGGCAACGGAGGAGACCAGGGCCATCTGCAACCGGCTGCTGGAACTAGGAGTCATCATGCAACCCACCGGCGATCACCAGAATGTGCTGAAGATCAAACCGCCGCTCTGCATTACACAACAGTCCGCTGACTACTTTGTCGACATGCTGGACCAGGTACTCTCGACAGGATTCTAGAAGGGACAATTTCTCAAGAGAATTAAAACAGTTATAAGTCAGGGCCTGGCAACGAAGTGGTGGCGTTAACTTGATGGGACTGGACATAGCTATGTTGTAATATCTTGCGTGCTTGAGTGGTACTGCATGTAACGGTTGGGGTTCTGTTAAATCGAAGTAAACATGTGTATTCTATTATTTAATCCCGCTTTTGGGATTAGCACTAAGTTAATGACCATGTGACTTAGATTGTCTCAGAATCAGGTTATGGCTGCAGTTTTCCGGTTATCAGGACACTACAGCATAAGCTAAAAAGAAAATGTTATATTCACCCCCTAGCTATTAGTACCATAGTACTGTGACATATTTCCAACCGACATCATGTCCTCAAAGCTAACAATACGATCAAGCCCAAGGAAGTCGTTGTTCATCAAAGTTTGAGATATGGTGAATAACTCATCCTTGGATATTGTAGTTGAGGATTGTGAGTCTGCATGCCATTGGCTGTCGGTCAGTTGGTTTGGATGATGCATTCTGGGTGTCAGGTTATTGACAGTTGGTGGCAGATTGGTCTTCGTGGAGGCGTGATTATTTCGGGAGGGTCCGGGACTGTCGATTCTCGAACTGAGAACAGGGCCTTCAACTTCAAGTTCCAAGACGGATGCTTGCATGCTTTGGCCAGTAACTGCTGTTTGGGTATGTTGGTGCTGACTTTGCAGACTGTTGCATAACTGGTCAAAAAAGTTGGGAGTTTTGCTTGTTCGATCTACCTGTTCAAGGCCAGCCCATCGATTGGACATGTCTGTCAAATTGTTCATTAAATGCTTGAATTCCTTAGCTAAAGGCGTATTGTAGTATTGTGAGTGAACTGCAAGACTGTGTTAGACATGGTTATGCGAGTGTTCTGGCATCTTACCTATCAGGGTTCTGGCACTGACGAAAGCGCATATTCCCATTTGCGGTGGCACAGCACGAGCCGACGGGTAACCCCCGAGGTACTTGGTTGTTATATTTGCTGTCTCTATGGCGGCATTGAGGCAGTTCTCGGCACTGAAATTACTAGGGAGATTCAGGTTGAAAAGCTCGGAGTCCGGGTATGCAATGCGCTCGTGGAGGAGGATAACAGATGTGTTATGCGTCGCATTGGCTAGTGTCATGCTGGGGTCCATGACGCCAGGCATTATATTATCTTACGCAATACGCCAGAGTCTTTCCACTGCTGGGGTAGATACGTCTTCCAACTGATTTTGTCAGCAACAAACGCAACTCAGGAACAGCACCTACTGTACTAAACGGAGATCGAGTTCCTTGAACTTAGGCAACCAGAGAGAAACCCCATGTCTGTTGGTGAAGTCCACGGAAGGTTGTAGGAAGCTATTCGATATCTGACAAAGTGAATCGATTGACTGAATGTAATAGGCCAAGGCGCCAATCTTAGATATATCTCCAGTTGCCTTGTCGCTAGCCCGAGTGTTGCCAGTACTCGCTGGTCCATTGACACCAATAGCATTACTTCCAACAGAGTAAGGACTCGTCCCGTGAATATTCTGTGCTGCTGGCTCATCCCAGTTACCAAAATAGGGTGTAACAGCTGGCTCGTTATGGAACCAGCCCCCGCCGCATATAGGCAGTCTTCGGCGAATGTCCACTGAATCGATACCTGGACTCCATCTTGAATTTGTCAGACAGGTTGGTGGTGAGAGAACGACGAGTCCTTACCCTTTGATGATGGATGAGATTCTATCAAGGATGAAGACATTCCAGAAGATCCTTCTTCTTTCCTCTTCTTCCAGCCAATCTCGGGGCTCTGCTAATGATGACCTATCTGATAAGAGTCCTCTCTTGCGTTGATACACTTCAGTTTCAAGAGACAGTCCCATGTATTCAACAGTCCTTGTCAAAGACCCAATGACAGGCCAGGCCTTCTCCAAGTTGCCATTTCCAATCTAAGATCTTAGTTAGAGTGCTGAAAAGTCAAGAATCACAACATACCTCGGTGAATGCAACCATAATGAGTGCTTGAAGATTCTCTGTCTTGAGGCCCTCCATCGCATTTATTATCACAGTGTTTCGTAGCCTCGACGTCTCTTTATCGATAAAAGTCTTATCCGGTGGGTTACCATTGATCTCGACATAGCGCAAAGACGCTATCATCATTGCCTCAAGCACAATTGTCATACGCTGCTCAGTCTCTTGATGAAGTCGGTCATGGAAGCCTCTTATGATAACCATTGGTATCCATGGCTGGACATTGTCGAAATGTGCCTCGATTAGCTTATCCAAATGGTCCTGAATAATATCGATCCTACATAATGAATCTTGACTAGTTCGTTGCTGAGTAAAGTCCCAATTGCTGCATTTAGGCTGATCCTCAGCTTCGGCTTGCTTTCGTCTCTTGAAAAGTTCGGTGACCTTTCTGTATGGGTCGTACTCATACTGTCTTTTGCGAGTCGGCCCAATATTCTGATTTAGCTTCTGTAACTCACCGGCGAGAGTTGAAAGGACTGCCTACAGGGGCGTCGAGTTGAGGTTGCTTGTCCTGCTGCCAGAGAGATCACGCTTTGTGCCTCCGGATTCTTGTGTACCTTGGTCATGGCCCGAGCCGAACAATGCTTTCTCGACCTTTTCTGTTGTTCTCAATGAGTATGCTTTCTTATGCAGCCATGTGCTTCACTTGATGCATACCTAATCGCTGATTGAGACTCTCGACAGCACCACCTTTCAAGCCTGGCTTTGTCCGACGGTTTTCGTAATGACAAGGTGCACCCGAATGACGTGAATAAGAGGCCCACGGCCCTGCTCTCTGTTGTAAACTCACCCAATCGCTCACAATTAGAGCAAGCTGGTCTCTGTCTGGAACACTTGAGTTTCCGTTTCCGGCAGCCACTGCAGGATGGAAGCTCGGCTTCGGGGGAGTCATCGTGCGAAAAATCCATCGTGTCCGGAAGTGATATGAAAGTTGGAACGAGGTCGAATCATTTTTACGGTCGACGAACTTGCCGCTAACATGGCTGGCTAGCTACCTTAGCTCCAATCTGAGTGGAGGGGCGTCTGGTGTTGTTTATTCCCCACTTGACTTTGCTGCGATTCATTTGCTAGCTGTATTACCCCGCAAACCGACTCGTGAGTCATTGTTGGCGACGATGATTGGCGGTTGTCAAAGTGGAATGCTGTCACGAGGACTGTGGCAGGGGACCAGTTCTTGCGCTAGAGCACATTGGGAACGGTCCTCGCATAATCATCGGCCGATGCTTCAACCGAGGATACGCGAAGCTCTCCACGGTGATTCTTGTGCGACCTATTGCTGCCATGACTCTCCAATTAAGGAAACTTATGATCTGGTTTAGAGATCAAATTGCCAGTTTGCAGTTCCACACGATAATTGGAGATCGGATACCTGTGCGAGTGATGGCTGCTTACTCCGAAGGATCCCATCCGTACCCAGTAGAAAAAGGTTCATTTTCAGGATTTTATTAGCAACATGTTCTCTCAATCAACATTTAACATATTTTTTAATATGATCGCGAGTTCAGCCGCATCATCTTGTCCATTATGCTCAAACCCCAGGCTAACGCTTCTTGAGAGCTTGTCTCACTGGATGGCGTTGGGAACTTTGCCCTCGCCAAATCAGTCGACATCAACGATGAAAGAGCCTGGGAACGAAACATACCGCCAAAGCTCCAAGTTCCTGTTCCCGCCAGCTACAACGATATTTTCATTGATTCAAATATTCGCAACCATGTTGGATGGGTCTACTACCAAAGGCGCTTCACCATCCCACTGAACTGGTCTCAACAGCGTTACTTTCTGCGCTTTGACGCTGCCACGCATCGAGGGCGTGTGTACCTTGACGATCAGTTCGTAGCTGAACATATTGGGGGCTACACGCCATTCGAAATCAACATCTCAGACATTGTTCAGCCTGGCAAGCAAGTTCGCCTTACTGTGGCGGTTGACAATGAACTTGACTGGCATACTATTCCACCAGGAAGGATAGAGACACTCAAGAATGGCAAGCGAAAGCAACATTATCAGCATTACTTCTTTAACTATGTAGGTCTTGCAAGATCTGTGTGGCTAATCACAGTTCCTAGTATCTCTGTCAATGACATCACAGTTGTCACAAAGGTAGAGGGGACTACTGGTGTTGTGGACTTCCATATTGCTACAAGCATCCCTCTGGACCACCACTCAATCAAAGTGACACTTTTGGATGATGATGGATGTCCCGTTAGTCGCCGTTCTGGGTTGAATGGCTCTCTGATCGCTGAATTGGTTCATCTTTGGCAACCAGGAGCAGCGTATCTCTACCAACTTCGTGTAGAAGTATTCTCTGGGAGCACGGTAGTAGACACTTACGAACTACCAGTGGGGATAAGAACAGTCGAGGTCTCAGAAAATAAATTCCTTATCAATGGAAAGCCATTCTATTTTACAGGATTTGGTAAACACGAAGATACACCAATCCGAGGGAAGGGTCATGATTCAGCCTACATGATTCACGACTTCCAATTGATGCAGTGGATGGGAGCCAACTCTTTCCGAACTTCTCATTACCCATATACAGAAGAAGTTCTCGAGTATGCGGACCGTCATGGTATCGTTGTCATCAATGAGACAGCTGCAGTCGGTCTCAACCTCACCATTGTTGCTGGGCTCATTGGGCACAAGCCAATACCAACCTTTTCACCAGAGACGATGAACGACGAAACACGCGCTTCTCATGCTCAAGCCATACGTGAGCTAATTACTCGCGACAAAAATCACCCTAGTGTTGTGATGTGGACGATTGCAAATGAGCCTGCAGCCAGTGAGCCTGGTGTGAGAGAGTACATGGAGCCACTTGTGAAACTGAACCGTGTATTGGATCCGACAAGGCCTATATGCTTTGCCAATGAGAACCAAGCGAGCATCCACACTGATCTCATTGCAGATCTTTTCGATGTAATATGCCTTAATAGTTACTACGGCTGGTATCTTAATACAGGTGACCTCGAAGAAGCAGAGCAAGGTCTGGAAGAATCTTTGCGGAGCTGGGAGGACAAATATGACAAAACAATCATCATGACGGGGTATGGCGCTAATACCATGGCTGGGCTGCATACGGTTGGAGACATTCCCTGGAGTGAGGAATATCAGACTCGGGTCCTAGAAATGTCACATCGAGTATTCGATAGGGTGGAGAGCGTTGTTGGAGAGCAAGTATGGAATTTTGCAGATTTCCAGACTCCGTCTAGCTTCATTTTTAGGGTGGATGGCAACAAGAAAGGTGTATTTACGCGGGATCGGAGACCAAAGAGTGCTGTGCAGGTGCTCAGGAAGAGGTGGACCGAGATGGCAGCTGTCAATTAGAACTGTATTTTAGATGGATCAGCATGATTATCTACAAGCATTATTAAATTAAAAGTCATATTAATTGCCATTTTTCTATTATGTAGGAGCAGATCCCAAAGTATGCTACAAGCTCCTTGGGCACGATACTGAATTGAATAGATATTATTCTTCACAAGGCAGGCATTTCTATTGAACCTTAAGCCAAATCGTTTTGTCTACTGAGCTACAGCACAGCCATTCAGTCACCATTCTGCGGACAGCTGTCCGGTGGCGGCCGTACGCGGAACATCTAGACCATTGGTTACAGACCTCCTGACGTTGCTTGAACCTCGCCAATCACCCCATTTTCCCTGCTGAACTTTAGTCTAGATTATCAATATTCCATGCTTTTTCCGATATTTGCCCGTTAACCGTCAACGTGGACTAGCTAATATTGAAATTCAAGGCGTTCCTTGTAAATGCTGCCCATAACATGCCAGTCATGGTAAGGCCATGTTATGAGTTTGCCGCCACTGGAGGAATCATCGGCCGATGCAAGGACCGAAATACCGCAACTGTCGAAAAGCCCGTCATGGATGGCCTGTTACAACGCCTGTGGTCTTGCAAATTCCGCACTACTACTCTACTCTGGGGTTAGACCATAATTCCCGCATTACAACAGTCGACCACTTCCTCGGTTTCTTGCTACCGATCTGTTGGGGATCCGGGGTACGAGCGGCTTTCAACAGGTGAATTGTCGATGCAAATCATGTGTACAGCATCATGCTGGTCGGAATTCTCGCCGATGGTGTCTTGATCATTGGTAGATATAAATAAGAGCGTCTCTACAGATCATTGACTTCATCTCCCCAAGACAGTGGATCTCCATTCACCTTTGTCTCAAGGATAACGCCAAGAAAGAAGAATCAACAATGGCGAAAAGCCTTGAGAATGTCGATATCGTTCAGGCTGAGCATGGGCGTGACGAGAAAAGAGGGACTGGCGATGTAGCACCAACCTCTGCATTTGCGGGCTTGACGCGTGCTCAGTGCGTCAGGAAGTTCTGGCGACTCTATATCACCGGACTAGGTGTCTCTTTGGCAGGAATGTATGTACCATCTCCGAACCACCAACTTTGACGTTGGGAGTACTGATTTACTGGTCAACAGGTATGCTGGGTATGCTAACTCAGTCATCAGAAGTATCATTGCCAACGAAGGCTTCATCGAGTACTTTGCTACCGTCAGAGATCCCCAAACCGGCAAACCAGCTCTCGACTCGCAGCATATCTCGCTCTGGGCGGCATGTTACTTTGTCACCTCCATCCTGATCCAGTCTATTGCCCCGGTCACTGCAGATAAGTTCGGTCGCAAGTTTAACATGTGGGGAGTGACATTCTTTCTCACTCTGGTAGGTGTCTGTTCAAGTCCAACCACGGCGGCATAGTACTAACGGAAAACTATCAGTCTATTGTAATCCAGGTCATTGCACCCAACTGGTGGACTCTTCTTATTGCTAGGCTTGTGGCGGGCTGTGCAGGCGGTATGATGGGAACATCAGTCATGGTCTACATGTCAGAGGTCGCCCTCCCTCAGTTCCGCGGTGCTCTTCTGGGCAGTTTCTCCCTTGCTTTCGCCTTAGGCCAAGTCTTTCTTGCCATTGCTCTAAAGGTCCTCGAGGAAACAAACCTAATGGCGTTCCGTCATATCTTTTACTCGGAGTTCGTCTTCACTGGTCTTTGGCTGTTCCCTATGCTTTATCTTCCCGAAACACCCTGTAAGTCCCCGGATCGTTTACCCTTCTAGACTAATAGCTAATGTTTGTTTATTTAGCTTGGTATGTATCCAAAGGCAGACATGATGAAGGCAAGAAGGTCTTGAAGCGACTTGTCGGCAATGTCGAAGGCTACGATATCGATCGCGAGTACTTGGTTATCCAGTATGAGATGGACGAGTCCTCAGCAACCGCTAAATCCGGCAACGAAAACTCAGACTGGAAAGCTCTATTCACCAACAAGATCAACATGAAGAGAGCCGTCATCTCAACGCTTCCCTTCACGTTCCAAAACGTTGTTGGAGTTCCCTTGATGTTCGGCTATACTACTTACTTCTTCCAACTGGCTGGAGTCAGTGATCCGTTTCTGGGCAACATGGTCAAGCGGATGGTTCTTGTAGTAGGCATCATCATTTCTTTCTACACTGTTGACAAAGTTGGCCGACGGACGCTCGTCATCGGTGGTGGTGCAGCAATGGCGACTATTTGCCTCATTGTTGGCGGGCTCGGTTTCATGAAGCAGACCAGCGCTTCAGGAATGGTATTGGTCGCCTTGTGTTCTCTTTGGGCTTTTGTGTATGCAAACACGCTCGCGCCTATTGGTACGTTGAAATTCAGTGCTCGTGTCGTCGTGTGACTAACCTTTTCAAGGCTGGATCAGCTTGGTGGAGATATCGAGCCCGAGCCTGCGTGCAAAGACGACATCAATTGCAGTAACAATCCAGTACGCCACTGGCATCTTGTTCGTAAGTCATCCCGATCTTAGTTCTATGGTTCCTCTAACCGTGATCTAGAACTATACTGTCCCTCTCATGCTGTCGAATCAGAATGCTGGATAGGGTCGAAAGATCGGCCTTTTCTTTGGCGGTATTACCTTGGTTTACTTAATTCCTTGTATCCTGATGTTCCCTGAGACCAAAGGTCGAACGTACCATGAGTTGGATGAGCTATTTGAGCGACGAGTTCCTGCTTGGAAATTTGCGTCGACGAGAACTTCACACCAAGCTGAGCTTCAGACCACGCACCCCGCAGAAAAGGTCTGAACAACAAGCACCACTGCATTAATAGCCAAGGAGATCGGAAGATGCTGACAAGAACGCCCCCACAGTGAGAAGATTATCTTAATTAGTTTATCTGTTATAAGTAGTAATTAGTAGATTACTATAGTAATTAATTTCTTACTCTCTTTTATAATAAAGTGTTATAAAATTAAAAAGGACTGTAGGGTAGTGTTTATTATAGCCTTTAGTTTATAGATAAGATAAGATAAGTTAAATAAAAATAACAGGACCTACTACCCCTTTTTATATATATATAAGGCGTGTAATATAAGTATTAGTAGCGGTTTTTATTAACTTAAAATAATACTTTTATTAAATTAGTTTAAGTAGTATACTAACTGCCTAATATAATTACTTAAAGTAAGCTTTTTAGCCTATTTAATAATTATATTTAAT